ACTTTATTAAATAAAACTAACAATTCCCAGAAGAGTGATCATGTCTTCATACACAGATCGCTTGAACAAATTATAACCTTGATATAGTGTCTTTATACACGAATAACTCGAGTATCTTATTGAATAAACTATAAACTTGTTAGACGACTACTTGTATCTTCATATACATTTAGCCTTCGTAATAGCAAATCACATAATCCTCTTAAAAGCGTAACTGCAATAAACCCTATATTTACTTAACGTAAATCGGCATTTGATTATCAATCGACCAACATACCCGCCGCTATAGTAAACCGTTATACCGAACTTATAAGGTAGTTTCGGGTGTAACAGTACTCTAAACTGTATAAATTCAATTGAATAAAATTGACCAATCACGAGAAAGTTAGCCTATATGGTACACTCTACATAAATCGAAAAAATCCGCGCAGCCAATCAATATCAAGATCAGGTGTAACGTAGCACGATCAGGAAAACGTTCGTTTCAAAAATCGCTTGTAAATAGAAAATCTACATAGGAAACTACCTTTTGCATTCTAATTCCTCGTCAAATTTCGGTGTAAGATATGCTCTAACCTCACCCTAACGCTAATCTAATGTCAAATCTGATTGGCTAATTTTTGGTGTTCTTGGTAAAAATTGTCGGTATATTTCTCCGAATTTCGTTAATCGACAATATCACGTTATAGGGGATCATCAATTTTGTCTAATCAAAAATGCGATTTACCGATAGCCAATAGAAACTTGGGGGAAATTAGTTAATGCAACATCGAATTTAAGATGCCAGCTATAATAAACGTTGTTTCAATAGTAGACGATTTACAGCCTTGTAAGCAATGTATATAATTACATATTTATAATTTGATAAGATTAAATCATATTCATTGTTGCTTCAGACTACACACGAACGCCAAAGCCATCTATGTGGCTTCCACGAACATGGTGCCTTAAAAATAATATACGTCCAAACCAAGTTTTGTCTCTCCGTTCTTACAATCAAAGTCAATCATCTGATCAAAATTGTACAAAAATTTTCGCTTCAGTAAAATTATATTCAAAATATTCTGTTTTATTTCGTGATAATCCTTCATTCCCCGATAAATTGGATTTTCAATTACTGGACCTATCACAAAATTCTAATATTTCGAATATAAAAAATGAATTTGATAAGGGTGAATCGCAAGTTGTTATTTCAAGATTACTAGCTTGTAATCTAGGTATTTGTTCATTATTTGGCAAAATGGATAATTTGGATTTTCCTATACGATTAAATCTTATTGAAGTGGTATGTATACTTACTTCTGTGCTATCTTTCACTTCATAATTTTTGTTTTCTAATTTATATATATATTTTTGTCCGGACAGGTCAATAACATTCCAATTGCAACTTGTGTCATTTTGTTTGGTATAATCAACAATTTTGCAAATATTCATCATGATAATAATTCAGTGAATAACCAAATCGATAAAAATCTTATTAGAAGGGTTCATTTAGGATCTATTGTTTCAACTAATACTTGGATTTGTTATCAAGGATGTAATGGAATGCAGTTTTTAAAAGTTTTGAAAACTTTTATAAACGATGATGATACGAAATTATCAGCTTTAACAATCAAAAATACAATCGCATCATCAATTGAACCAGAGGATCATGTTTCAAAGATTTCTGAATCAACAAAGATTGAAATTACTTATGATCCGAACGTGTTATTTGTAAGATGTCAGATGGATGGTCTACAAAAGATTTATCAACCTATATTTTATGAACCAAAGTTTCAGGATAAATCTAAATGGTTGGAGAGAATATTTAAACAAATTGGAGGTTTAGATGATATTATTTTAGGCATTATTGAACAGATACATACTTTTATCGTGACTGCATTGTGTGGAAAATTTAGAAAAGGTGTGAAAAGAAGTAAGGGTATATTGTTGGTAGGCAAATCTGGAACAGGCAAAACATCACTTGCCTTGTGTATAGCTGGTATGACTGAATACTGTTGAACACTATACTTGAATGATTATTTTCAGTTCTACTGAATCACTGAATTTTTTCGTCTCTAAAAGAAACATCAAGGTTACCATATGTAGTAATAAATTGCCCAGATATGTTCAAAACCGGTATCTACAAAGTTATTTTTAATTGCAATTTATCTTTTAATACATTAGCACTCATTCTTATTTTTATGAAACCAGATGAGGGTGATGCAGAGAAAGAAATTTGTTTAATATTTGAATCATTGTTACGTCACAGAGTTTCCATTGTCATATTGGATGAGATCGATATTATTGCCGATACTTTTGCAAGTACTCGTGCAGGTTTGAATTTTGGATTTCAATTTAAATGTTATCCGTGTATTTCTTTTGTTTATGAAATTGAAATTATAAAGGAGTGGAAGCAAAGTTATTTTCAATAATTATAAAGTTGATTGACTCAATCAATGAAAATGTCTGGGAAAATCCATACAAAGGTCAGATATTTATTATTGGTAAGTACTATTACTAGTATCATTTTTTTTAAATCTAATGTTTGTAATATCTAAACAATTTTTTTAATTAGGGTTGACTAATCGTCATCATGTGATTAACAGCAATCTTTATCGCCCCGGAAGACTCGATCGTATCTACGAACTCGTTATTAAAAAGCCGGATCAAAGATTTGGAATTTTAAAAATAATGGCAGAGAGTATGTGTAAGATAGTTTAATTTGTTGTCTCAAAAATCCTGATATATTGTTTTTTTTTTTCTATTGCATAATAGAACTTCCATTTGTTGAGGAGCAAAAGGATTTAATATTGCAAAAAATCAGTAGAGTGACACATGGATTTGTTGCTACCGATTTACAATATCTTTGCACACAAGTTGCAACGCAGCTGGTTAGGGAGCATAATAAACATAATAATAGTGGTTCAAATGAGGTAAATAACATTGCAAAAACTTTGAGTTAAATTTATTATCAATATAGGTTATTAAATATTTTTCTACCACCCTTTTTAAGGATCCAAATAATCCACACACGCTTGTTAGGCTACAGCATTTTGAAGAAACTCTTAAATTTATTAAGCCTTCGAATTTAAATGAATTTCAGATAAAGGTATTTGATTGATTAAATAAAAATAAATTATTTTTCTTAAAATCGACTAATATCTTTCAATATTTTAAATTAACTAGATTCCAAATATACGATTTTCCGATATATTTGGTATTGATGAAATTATTGAAGATCTCAAAGTAAGAAATTTCTTTTATGTTTGCATCTTAGTTGTTTATACCATCCACTTTTTGATTTTTTTTTTTTTTTTTTTGTGTTCTCTTTATCAGTTGACCGTAATTGAACCATTCCATAATCCGCAAGAGTATATCAAATTTGGAATTTCACCACCACGTGGAATTCTAATTTACGGTCCACCAGGTGTTGGAAAGACAATGCTTAGTTGTGCTATACCTGCTGAAGCTGGAATAAATTTCATGTTGGTTGAGGTTTGTTAAATTTTAATACAGTAATAATATAAATTTTATAATTTATATTTGAAATACATTTTATCTAAAGTTTTTTTTTTATATATACTTATTAATATTTCAGAGTTCACATGTCAGATCAAAAATTGTTGGTGAATCAGAAAATAATATTTCAAGGATGTTTGCCCAAGCAAAAGCCAATTCTCCTTGCGTTTTATTCATTGATCAAGTAATACTTTTATAATTATTGTTTATGTTTGATGTAATATATATTCAAAAAATGTTATGTGATTAGATCGATATTTTGGCATCAATTAGAGGTACCAATGCAACATCTGAAAATACAGAAGATCGTATTGTTACAAGTTTTTTGACAGGTACTTGCTTAGCTATAGCACAGTACCCGGTGTAACAATCACAGGTCAAAATTTAAAATGTCTATAACATTTCTAAGAGATATCAACAGATATTTGGCGCGTATTTCTACCTATCAGCAACTTATCAGAAAGATATCGGATCCGATAGCATATCAGATATCCGATACTTTATCAAAAAGTATCGGATATCTGATATGCCTGTCAGATCCGGTATCTTTCTGATAGGTAGAAATACGCGCCAAATACCTGTTAGCTATCGGACATTTTGACATCCGATATTCTGTTGATATCTCTTTAGATATATTAAATTTCGACCTGTGAATAGTGTAGAATAAGTTTTTAAAATACTAGCTATATGTATATCGACATGATGCGTAATACTCGTGACTTTAATTTTTAATTACATCATACCGGGTACTATTTACCGAGAATTACGGTACTATTTAAGGTTATTCTTATTTGAAATTGCTACATACATATATATATAGAAATGGATGGCATTTTTACATCGAGAAGTAGGGAAGGGCCTGAGGTTGATGTTTTAGTTATTGCAGGTAAGATTTTAACCCAATTAATTGGAAACGTTTCATTTAATCACCAAATAATTTGTATGGAGCAATTTATAATATGGTTTACTAAATTTTAGCGACAAATAGACCTGAAATTATAGATTCGGCACTTTTAAGACCTGGCAGATTGGATCAACATATTTATATTCCACCGCCGAATTTTGAGGTTGATGTTTTTTTTTTGTTTATGTTGTGCCTCAGACTAACGCTTGCCTCAGATCACAGCTGACTGATGCCAGTAGCACCGACGGATTTTCACTGATCGACATCGAATTGACCAATTAGATTACATCAGGTGTAACGTGAAAATCATGCGTTTTTTAACAAACCGCCTAAAACTCTACCTTCTGCGTACTAGTAAAAAAATTCCTTGCAAAATTTTGGTATAAGCCTCAATATAGCTGTAAACCTGACCCTAACGTAGTGTTTTATGACTTTAAAAAAATTGCGCATATTCGTTGTTTAGATAAGGTGAGGTGCGTAACCTATCGATCGGTCAATAAGCACAAAAAAAAAAAAATTATAGAAATTATTGAAAATTGAATGTGCTAAAAAACTTAGACGGGAAGAATATGCCGCAAAAATTAGGCTAAAAAAAAAAACTATATGTATAGGGAGAAAAAAAGTATGTATTAATTGGAAATAGAATGTGTCGTGAAAATTCAGACAAAGAAATTTAAAGAAAAGAACGGAGATAGATACTGAAGAAACTTAATGTAAAAGAATGCTACTGTTGGTGGTAAAATACCAGATATTCAAGACTATTATTGGAGGTAAGACGATGCCAAAGTGATTCAAAGATATAGAATGCTGCTGGAGTTAAGAAAGACGACAAAGTGATTTAAAAAATGTTACCAGTGAAAAACAATCCAAGAATAAAAGAATTCAAGTAAAAGGTCTTTTAT